ATTTTGTATAATGCACCACGATGAACTACCAGCTTTGTAAAATACTAAAATGCACCATGGAGAACAAAAAATGTATCATTCTTACTTCTTTCACCAAGGTCCATTCTTACGTGAAGTGGTCCATATATATATATATATACACACACACACACACACACACACATACATACATACATACACACACACACATACATACATATATAGGAGGGTTTGGGTGAGAATCATCCTTTAGATGAGTGACAGCATTAGGTGAGCACTCTCAATCCAAAATTCCAAACCACCGAATCTTGACATAACGGCTAAGATTGAATGGGGGCATTGGTGGTTCATGACGGAAATGGAGACCGGCGGTGGTTGCGGTGACAGAGGGCAGGGGCCTTCTGTGGTTGCTACCGGCAGAGGAAACTAGGGTTGATGTTTACTTATAACCGTAAGATCAAGATTGGATGGCTATATATACAAAGTATGTGCGTGTGTGTGTCAGGGTGACAAACTTGATTAATCTGATTGTGTGCCCAAGCGCTTTGATAAAAAGAAAACTTGTAAACAAAGTAACTAGAGATTGTAAGACTAAAGAAGATACTTGAACATTGAGCGTGGCAAGGTTGAAACCCTCAGGTGTAAAACCATATTTTTTCCAGACACTAAAGAAGGCAGCATGTGTTCGAATGGCAGGCTCAATGTCCCCAGCTAAAACCTATAAAATACCAATCACTATCAATATCTATGACTTCTAAAAGACAAAATATATTGTTTGGGCAAGAGAAAGCAATCATAGTACAATTACCTGAAGGCCTGGCCAGAACGCCTGCAGGCTGTTAAATAATGGCCATACAAGAGCAGCAGAATTCATATTTACTTCAACATACCTAAAAGGGTGAGGAGAAAATTATGTATTATAGCTTCAATTGCTAAACAAGCTATGTTAAAAAAAGAATTAGGAAGTTTTCTAGAATGGTGGTCGCTATAATGTGCAGGCACAAATCATTCTTTACAGAGCCCGCCCTTCTACAACTAGCAATTCACAAAGTATAATTGAGCTTAAACCTCATAAGCTCAACTGCTCAATTTGTACCAGGGGTCACTATATAGATAGGTCATTACTGCTCTGTATGCTTCCTGGAATATGAATAGATACTCTTTGTCTCCAAATAATAGATGAGCCTAAAAGTCAATAA